ATAAAATAAATAAATAATAATAATGATTAAAAAACTCGTTGGTTAAGTTATAACTGGCTATGGAAGGGATAGGGGGGTTACGAATTTCTTCTGTACACATAAATTGGGGTTATATGTACGAATTCCCATGGCTTCAGCTATATGTAGGATGTGGGAACGAACTCCGTTGGGAAATTATGAAAGTGTACGATAGATCACTCGAAATGATTTCGATTTATCTACAGCATGACTGCTATCAATAAGATGTGCCAAGATAGAACTACGAATTGTTTTTATCTGACCCTTTCTAAACCAAGCTGGTAGATGTTCACTCATTCGTTGGTTAAGTTGCCTGGTAGTACGCTCGATATAGCTAGCTCCACAGGAGCAGCTGAATTTGTAAATGCACATGGAAGAGGCCGACTCAGGTAAATTATCCTTCGTTTGAGTAGACATTGCTGGTCGACTAGAGAAGGTTGACGCGAGATCGGCTGCGTAGAATGTCCTGTTGATTGCTTTCGTTAACCTATATTTCAGAGTATTACTAGCCATATCCCGTTGAATTGTAGTTTCATGTATAAAGGTTTCTTACGAACAGTCGAAATCTCCGACTTCTTTATCATGTCATACATGTATTTCTTAATGAATGCACTGGGGTAGCCGATCTCAATCAGTGAGTTGTTGATAAATTCAAGCTCCTGACTACTATACAGATCTTCTCCCGGGCTCTATTATTGAGACATCTAACCAAATTTCTCTTGTAGCGGATAGGTGTGAAACTGTAAATGTGAGTATATTGGCAAGTAAAGGGGGATTCTTCTATACATGCTTTTACTTAATATGCCATCACTTTCATTATAACTGACTGAATGGTCTCTCTTGTAAAAATGCATCTTTCTAGCTGGACACTTATTTCTTACAAGCTTGTTTTTTTTTGCACATCGCATTATATAAAAAGATTCATTTATTGATCTTAACTTTTATTGAGGTTGTTTATAATAAATAGTGTACTAGTTATATAATTAATCGAACTAAGTATGGCCTTTTTGTCACTGTCAAAAAATCAATACATTTAAGTTTCTAACTTTCATTCTATATGTTTGTTATAAATCACTTAGACATTTTATTTTGATATACATAACTGACACAAAGTATTTTTTTTTCATAAATTCCATCATGACAACCCTATAAGAGCTACAGGCGGAGTTATAAGTAAGTAAGTAAGTAATCATGACAACATGTGAATAGTGTGTGTATTGATATTTTGTTAAACTATTCAACTTGTAATTTAAAGACAATACCATATTCTTTGAATAATCTAACAATGTTGTATAGTTTCATACACATAGTTCCATTTATTATTTTGAAAAGAGCAAGAATAAACCTTCTAACAGAATAGTATGAATTCATTTTTTATTTCGTTGGTTCTCATCAGCTGCTTACAATTTGTGATATTTAAAATCATAATTACATAATGGGTTTAAATTACTTACATGAAAGAGTTTGGCTGGAAGTTATATTGAAGACATATTCATATAGTAGTATAGCAAGGGTGTAAATAAATTGAATAGACTGAATATTGTAAATATATACCTTATATGATGAAAGAACATTGTGATAACAGTTCAAGAGAATCAACGAAATAAAAATGAATTCATGCTATTTTGTTAGAAGGTTTGTTCTTGCTCTTTTCAAAATGTTGTATAGTTCAAATAGCTGAATCAATTTCTTTTCAAGATCGAGAACATTACGATGTAAATATCAAATTAAGACATTGGTTATTGTGCATATAATGATTAATTTCAACGAAGAAAATGCATTAAACTTCTAATGACATTTTTTGGACTGTAAACGTGAAATAGTTGTAAGAGAATACAAATTAATACAAAATGAAATAGTATTTAATTCATATATTAGTAAAGGAATACAGTCAAGAGGAATCCAATTTGTTTATTTAAACACATTTCAGTGGCCCGTGGATCTGACTCCTATTTAGATCGTATAAATGATTGCTATCGCCTATTCTTGTATATAATCGTCGACTTAAATCCCGTTATCCAATAACGGAATTAAATAAGTCAAATAACGAGAATGGGATTTTGAATACATATATTCTGTATATGAGGTGAATGGAGTAGAAGGAAGAGAAGCGACGCAGAGTGGAGATGGCCGGTAATCCAACTCATTTTTAATCAGGCGTTAATCAATATTTATAGTCAGACAAAATAAAGCTACAGACATGCAATGATTCATGGGATATGATGTGCACACACATATACGCTCATATAAAAACAATCAAGACTGACAAGCGAATAATTGACAAGGTTAACCAACATATGACTCAAGTAGAATGAATAAATTGGTTTGTCCGAAAACTAGAATAAGGTATATGGGCTTAAAAATAATGACTAACGCTACTGCCGGAGTCTTTGATCTAAAGGTCTAATCCACAAGGCAATGGAACAACTTAAGGAGATGCAGTCCCATGGTAGCAGGTGACCAACAATTGTTTCATATTCCACTTTTTCCATCAGGACCCTGGAACCCATGTACACCACTGGTTTGGAATCAGGGTTTTCCAACTCCCCTACGTGGAATCTCCGTGTCTACCAATCTGGTTAAAGCACAGAGTGATTCATTTTATCTCCGTTCAAAATCAAAACTCAAACAGATGTTACTTATCAGAGTACCTGCACTGTACAGTATAAGTATTCGAATTATGGTGAATAAAACCATCCAAAATTTTAATATTATCCACGTGAATACATGCCAAAATCGTGCAAGACATTTAAGGTTGTTTGAAAAACTATTTGTGATTATATGTGTCATTACCAAGGTTTGACTTGATAATTTCGAATAAATTAAACATTTGGTAGATGACAATTAACAAAAGTAATATATTTGTGATATGCCATTGAGTAGAAGAATTAAGTTTCTAAATTTTCTAACGTTTTGTGATTCAGTGTAAGCCACTTCTTCGGAGAAAAAATAAACAAAATTAAATTAACCCAAGTTTAGGTAGTACAAAGGAACAAAGCAAAAATATTTGGTGCGATCAATCAAAAACATTGTCATGTCATTCAGGTCAAGGTGATTTATGTAAGCTGTTTCTATAATTGTGTGTGTATGTTAAAGGATGAAAATATGTGACATTTGTGGTGTGAAAAGATAGAGTTGGTTTTATGTATATGATAATGCCGTGAGGTGTGATTAGAATCAGACATGGTAGCTCGGATAGATGGTCAGATGGATAATGAGTCCTTCTCTTCCATTGAGGACAGTAGTATTAAGCAATATATAGAGAGCTTTCTTTGCAGTTAGAAAAGCCTTTTCTGTATTATTTTGATGTGTTTTGATGTCGATTTGATGTTTACTGAAAATGGCATGAACTGCTAGTGCCGATTTAATTTTGTGTCTTTCTAGTTCTACGGGATTATTAGGCAGTTTCTCTGTGCACCCAAGATGTTCTTTGGTTCAAGTAAAGATTTCACGGGATGACTCTCCAGTATACAAGGCATCACAATCGACACATCCTAATTTGTAGACACAATTCTGAGTTCACTTAAAGGAAATTTTTTCCTTTATGCAAACTAAAGCATTTCGAAGTGTGTTCGTTGTTTTGTAATATACTTTAGTCCTGTGTTGTTTCAAGACTCTTTGGAGTTCTGTTGTACCATGAGTATATGATAAAACTATAGTACCGATCCATGGCATTTCATTTAGGTCATTATTTAGCAATACACTGTCTCGTTTTAATGCACTTCCTATTTATGATCATATAAAGTCTATTTAGTAGAGATGCCTTAGGGTCATGAGACGAATTCAAGACAAAGAATTCGTTTGACAACTTGGAAATATATTGCCTTGTTATTTACACGTTTTTGTATAATAAATTACTCATTCATTATCACCTGTTTTATGACTAGTTGATGCAGTAAGGATTGACTCAAGGTCCAGACTCAGAAACTAAGTGGATAGCGCGAAGCCGTTTTTAGCGAACGACGATCGGTTTCAGTTCCTGGATGAATATCAACTACTGGATACAGGTACATCCAGCTGACGAGTTCCAAATAAGACGAAACCCGCATTCCATATTTTCCTGCTAAACGCCCTCCATCTCTGCTTATAATCATGGGTTGACTATTTGGTGATGTTATCAGGATCAGATATTACGTTGATGTGAAACACTACTGGGTGTACATGTTAAATTTATTCGTCAAGCTTGTTATAAACTATAACACCCATTTAATATCGATTTTAACTAAATTGCAAATACTTATCCTTCCGGAACTGTAAATATAGGTTGATCAATAACCAGATTAACACAGAAAATAATGTACTCATGGTAAAAACTCTTCATAACCAACTTATATTCGATAACTGTTTAGGTCATATATGAAGAATCATCACACAAAACTCTATAAAACAAGTTAAATGTACAAGAAGAAGGAAAAACCTTAAGTGTAATACTAGTGATTCATGAAAGTGAGGAGAAATATTATGATCGAAGTTATTTTGCATTACGTATTAAACAATTACAATCAATCACTTACTAATGAATAATTTTCAAATTCATAACCGGTGAAATTCAACAACGCTCAGAGTGATAAACGTATCACTAATGGCACTGAATATTAGTCACGCTACACCACAAATTGACTTATGTTAAAGGTACAGACAATTTGAATGACGAACATGTAATCTGTATTTAAGATGCGGTTTTTAAGAGGTATGAATGTCTTGGTTTCATTCCATAACAATGTAGCTAGTACCCACTGCTTAGGAGTCCAAATACTACTAGAACAAAAAATCTACCCCATGCTTACTAGTCTTTAGTGGCTGTTGTGTCGCTTAAGTCACTCCATGTTGTAAACTGTCTTCAAAAGTTAACAATCTTTACAAATTTTCCATCCTAAATGCATCATAAATACAAGTACAAAAAGCGAATACAAAATCGGTTTGTAAAATAATTCGATTATACATTACGATGCACTGGATACAACACAATCAGACACTATTGGTAACCAAGTATTTCCTGACAAAACAACGCACGGAAAAACAAGAAATAAATTAATAATAGTTGGGAATAAAGATATATATTTGACTGTTTGCAGAGTTAAAGGTAAGAGAAACTTTTGATTTACCTACCTAGTAGTGGAGACGCATTTCACGTCCAGTTATGTAGTGATGTGGTTATGATGTTTGGCCCACCTCCTTCAGTTAGTTAGTGTCCATTAAAACTAGTAAGGCCAGCGCCAGTGTTGAATTCCCACAAAACTACTTATTTTAGGAAATTATTTACTACTACATCTACTTAATAAATGAATCTGGTTTGCGGGTAGACTAAACGTACACGACAATATTTGATCACTTTAAATTGTAAATTATGTTAGATTTATTCCTAGTCAAAAATCCGCTATCAGATTCAAGGAGAATATTGTCATTAAAAACAGGATGTTTATTCATCGAATAAAGAATTGTTTAATCAATTTTCACAACAACACATACGTGAACAATATTGTTTACCATCAGATCTTTACCAAACTTTAATATTTTGTAATATTTACATCCATATATGGAAAACTAATCTAGGAAATTCGTGGAACGATGCCAATTAATTGTAATGTGTAGAAATTACAAAATAATAAGTGCTGAAGTAAATATGTTGTCATGGTAAGTAGGTCAAGGAATGAGAAAAGAAGCATAAAAATAATAGCCATGAGAAAATGAGCATTAATAAGTGAGTGAACAATTAGTTATAGTATGTACATAATCAAGAAGAGGAAACAAACTAATAAAATGATCTATCTATATAAAAGGAAAAGACAAATCCCAATCTATCAGATAAGTCCTTTTATATGCTTTGGTTCTATTTATTAAATGATTATTATCGACCGAATGTTACAGAACAGAACTACGTATTGATTTTGTCTAACCATATCCAAACCACGGAAGAAGCCGCTTTTTAACTCGTTAGCCAATTGTTTTAATCGTACGCTTGGTATAACGTTCTTTACAGAAGTAGCTCAATCGGCAAATACACGAAGAAAATTAATTATGAATTATTTTCGTGGATTGGTTGAAGTTAAACATTAACACTGTTGGACGCAGGCTCAGTGGTCTAGTTGGTTAAGCTCCTGGCGCGAAACAGGGGGCGGGATCGTGGACGCGCACTGCTGAGGAGTCTCATACTAGGACGAAACGGCCATCCAGTGCTTCCAGGTTTTCCATGTTAGTCTAGCTTCAATTGACTCATGATTTCAACCACTGAAGAATCATATGTATTGTGAAAAATTTCACGGACAATGCCTCTCCTTTATAAGTCTACATAATTCAAAATTATTGTTAAACTAACGTTTGCTTAATGAGTTATGTATGCTCTGTCTTTTAAGAAAAACAGAACGTTTTCTTCAATACTTTAAATTTATAATCAATTTATCCTTTTTTTTCTAATCTTCCAGAATTATCATAACGGGTCTGTTGTGTTGTTTGATACTGATAATGAATTTTATATACGATTTACCTGAACGACTTTTAACGGTGAAATCATTGTAAGTTATGTTAATTTTATTGTCTACTCCATAATATGGGGATTTTCATAATTTTATTTACCTTCCACAACTAACTGATTAGTCTCATTTTTGAGGAACGTACGATGTTAGATGTTAGCTGACACTAATCGTCAAGACGTACCTGAAATAATCAGGTAACTGATGCTCACTGTAGTATTTGAACCCATTCAAACATATATCACCTAACGTCAGAGTGTGAGACGTCGCCAGTAAGCTACCCAGTTACCCAAGTCACAACTTTATGATAAAAGACTGAATAAACGTGATTTTTGTCCCTATTCAGTAATCAATCAGTTGGAATCTACAACATATAACAATTCAATATTATGTGTTATTACTTTTGTTGATTTGTAAATTAACTTTCACTTTCTGTTGTACATGACATACTTTTTTGCTTATTAACTAACTAACAATGGTCATTTTGATGAGATCTACTTTCGTAATCAACCAATTTTTGATGTTGTGTGAATTAATTCAAAGGTAGCTCTTGTTGTAAGGTACCATGTTCGAGTGTTGATATTGACATACAATCTTCCCACATTTGAACCCAGCTGACCACTTGTGAGAAAAAAGCATATATATATATATATATATATATATATATATATATATATATATATATATATATATATATATATATATATATATGTATCCTTGTCCCTTAAAAAAAATAAAGCTACCAATGATGTACATCTCATTTCTTTACCAATCACATCCACTCATCGTTTTTCTGAATTTTGATTAGCCCAGTGTTTCTGTTCTATCATGTAAAAAAAGCTATCACTAAAATTTATTTCGTGGATTAGTTAAAATTAGACATTAACACCGTTGGATGCCGGCTCAGTAGTATATATAGGTTAAGCGTTCGCGCGCGAGACCGATAGGTTCTGAGTTCGAATCTCACGAGGCAGGGACGTGGACGCGCATTTCTGAGGAGTCCACAACGGGACGAAACGGCCATCCAGTGCTTCCAGTTCTTCCATGGTGGTCTAGTATCAACTGACTCATAATGTCGATTATCGAAATATTCATTTTGTTTACAAATACTTTAGTGATCTCCATCATTGTAAGCAAAATCTCTAGATTTATTTTTCATTGAAATATCAACTTTCTCAAGAACCAACTAACAATCCGATCAATTGACCACTAAGATATTGGTGTAATTTGAGATTTGATTCAGTTATCGGTATATTCTCCTACTTTTTCTTGACTAATCTAACTAGATAGATGAAGTGTGGATCACTTAGGAAACTATACTAACAAATATCTATAATGAACATACCTAGAATTCACTTGTGTTGATAGGTAGAGATAGTAACGTCTATAAGGATACGTGAGCAGTGTCTTCAAGTAAGTGAATCATTTATTTACCCTTAATATATTGATTACGCTTGTGGTTGACTCTAAATTAAATCTTGAGGTATCATTTTATAAACTAATCTGTAAATTACATTGTTTTCTTAAGTTGAGAATCCTACTTACGGAGAGTGCAACTTTATGATTGTGAGTTTATACTTGATAGCTGAAGTACAAAAAATGTATATGGTATGTTGATCCAAAAGGGATTCTTAATAAAATAGCTTATCTGTGTCAATTCTTATTCCAATCTTTAAGATTGGTAGGTTAAGTTTACTTATTACTGCTATCTATTAAAAGTTGCCTATGTGTTCCCACTCAAAAGTAAAGTGATAATTTAACCTTGAAACTAAGACAGTTTGTTGACTATGTATTAACCATGTCGATATGAACCACTAATTTTAAAATCATGTGATAAAACAAATAAGTAGGGATCACCTAACTTTGAATTCGGATATCGTACTTCATTATACCGTGTGTTTTAACAGTAGACAAGCAACTATTGATTAGTTTAACTAACTGTGGAGATTGTCTAAGCTGTAGCTTGATCCTTCGCATTAGATCGTATAGTTATGGAAGAAAATAAGGGGATGTAGGATGAATCATTCTTAAATAATAGTTTGTTTACCTTTTGTTATGTCCTAGAAAAGAATAAAGGAATGGTAACAGATAGGAATTATTTATGAACTACTATTACTTATATTCTCATTGGATAATTACTAAATAACTAGACTATATATATCATTCAACCTATTGGCTATTGCGTTACGATTTACCATTCTTAACTTATTCCCGATCTATTAGTTACAGTGTCTCACACTCACGATCACTTTTGGCTTGATCTTGTATAATTGTTATTGCCTATTTTACGGTGTGATGCGATGTGGTTTGTTTGTATATAAACTGCGTATGTCTGAGTACATGATTTATGTAGTGGAGGATGATATTTGTGTTTTGAACTCAACGCATAGGGCTAGGCGAAAATAACCCATAATGACTCAGAGTTGACTCTAGGCTGCTTGTGCTGATTAATGCGTCATTGATTTGGCACGGGGCCAAGGTCGTATAAGTTGATGTTCTGATTGGTGACTTTGTCACGTGATAATTGACGGGCTATATGACAAAACACCTTTGATTTAACAGTGGTTAATGTTAGTTCCCAATAATGACCTAGTTCTATCTATGAGACCCAGTAAGGTATTACTTTCTTTAACTAATCTATATTACACCTCAGTTCGTTGTATTTGTTGTAGGATAGCTAATATCGAAGAAAGTTAATCTTTTAGGACCATTTTACTGGTTGTGATTATTTGTATTTTAATTGTATAATAATTTAATAACTCTATTATGGTATTTCTTTATTCTCCTTATTGTAAACGTTCAGAAGTCCCATCAATTATTGCTTGTTTATGGTTAGTTAATCATTCTCCTTTTTTTTCTCTATTCTTTTCCACTTTTGATATGGTTATGCCTGTATTGTAATTTCGTATTCATTTTAATGTGCTATATAAATCCATTGTATAAGTTGATTCTTTTAAGATCTTTTACTGCACTACTAATTGATGTATTATTACCAAACTGATGACTGACATAGAAGGGCATATGTTTAGGACCAATATGACTAGGATTACCTTTAGTCTCAAATCAATGTTAACCTTGCCAGCCAAAGTATATAATTGATTAAAACTTAGAACACTATGAAACAGTCAAAGTAATATACATGGTTGAGAGAAATATTACAAGATTGTTATTGATGAGTCTATTTTTTTTTCTAGATACCGAGTAATATCTCATTCATAACAGTAATCCAGGATTCAAATGATCAGAATTCATAAACCTAATCACACATCAGATAGCATCTATTTCCAAAATACTTCAAACATATTATGTTGATGAATATCAAGAAGCATAAGAATTTCGTGTAGACCACTTTCATTTATCTAAATTCTTTTGAAATACATTAATATGGACAGGAAGAGAATATTCACTAACTGAAATAGAGTCAACACGATGGATTACGAGAAGTCATCTACTGTCTTCAAACAAAAAGTCTTATGAATTTGGAAATAAACTAGACAAGGTCCTATTTTGATGTTATTCTTCTTAAGTTATATTCTTTGCAAATCTATTCTTGAGAGTAATGAGTACTACTAACAAAGTGTTGGGTTCATTTAATTTTGTAATAAGTGCATACTTTGATATATATTTTTTTAACCCATACACATATAGAGAATATTCATAATTTCAGTTTTCCAGTTATTCAATCGTCAAAGTTCAAGCAATATTTAGATGATTGTTTAACCAATACAAAACAATTAATTGTTGATCAATTTCAAGTAAGTCTTTGAAAAATGATCAGTTTCAGTAATTAAATAATTTAATATCAGGAGTTTTGTGAATATTAAAGTAATTTTAGTAGTTGAGATCATGAGTCGATTAAAGCTAGACCACCTTGGAAAACCTGGAAGCACTGGACAGCCGTCTCGTCCTACTGTAGGACTCCTCAGCAATGCGCATCCACGACCAAGCCTCGCAAGATTCAAACCCAGGACCTATCGATCTCGCACGCTAACGCTTAGCTTTTAGAACGCTGAACCGGCATCTAACGGTGCTGAGAAGTCCCACAATAGGACGCAACGGCTGCCCAGTACTTCTAGTTTTTCCATGGTGGTCTAGCTTCAACTGACTCATGATTTCAATCATTAAAATTTAATTAAATGAATTTGTAATTTAGTAAATGCATTAAATTCATGAATCGGTCACCTTATGAGTAGTTGATATTATCTTACATTTTCTAATTTTCATCAAAACCTGTTAGTCAGTCTTTTTCTTATTGTGGCCACAATTGTTTACATTGGTTCGACACAGTCGGTTTAATGCCTGTTTTTGATTATAAAGGTGTTCAGATGGTAAATTTGCCTTGGTAACACATGTTAACAAGTATTAAATATGAGTTTAGGTGTGCACTCAATTATATAATCCATTTACCTAATGAAACCTGAAAAAGAACTGGAGGTTTTTTATTAAAACATTCAGTTTTAACCAATAGGTCATAGAAAGGTCCAACCCCAAGTCTGCCTACTTCAGTCTGAGTATTCCAGTAGTGTCAATAACTATCAAATCTAAAGTGTAGTTTAAAGTCGTACACGGGGATGTATACTTGATAAGTGAATAACAATTAACTATCTATATCTGTCTCATTGATCGATAAATCTGATGTTAGATATATATTGGGGAGTCCCAAAATATCCCTCATCAAAGTCCATAAAGGCTTAGAAAACCTCCTGGAAATTTTTTACTCATTGGTATATTTACATCCTATACGGATTGCCTCTATATTGCCTTAAGTCACAAGCATTATAAGTAGAGATGGGTGGTGGCTAGCAGTATATTCTAGGATGCGCGTCTCATATTATTTTGGACTCTTCAGCTGCGTGTATCTGCATCCCAGAGTCGATGTTCACACGATTGCACAAGCCAGTGGCTATTTGAACTCAGTAGCTAAGTACATAAAGCAATGGTGTTTGGAGTGATCGGTACTGGGTTCGAGTCCCAAAGTAAACGTCAACTTTGTGATACAGGTGCATCCAGCTGACGAGCTCCGAAAAGAATGAAACGCGCGTCTTGTATTCCACTACTAGCCATCTTTGCTAATAAGCTAACTTTTCCAAAATGTCCATGAATGATACTTCCGTTTTGAATTTGAAGAACATTCATCAGAGTTAGGAAAAAGATATACATCTAAAGTTAGGATAAAAGTATATAGACTAACGGTTAAAACCTAGTCCCAATCTTATTTCATATCGTAAATCATAACCTTAAATTCAAACGATAAACCATAGTTTTGAATCCTAACCATTAAGTATTTGATAATATTTTCATCAGTAAAACTAATCATCTGCCTTCGATAGATAGTATTCTGTTTCGATATATATTCACTACTATCTTTAAAAGTTGTTGGTCTCTAGTTGACTTATCCTTATTCTTAATGTTTACCAAGATAGTTTAATTTCAACTTGTACTCTATGATGAATTCTTTGCTATTATTTTCAGGCAATATGTTGTAAAAGTTATGAATTGGAGAAAGCGAACCAATTAACATGTCATGTTGCAGTTCATCCAAAGAATTACTATTTAAATCGTTATAATGATATTTTAGCTTGTAAGTTATTAACTATTTTACATAATCTGTCCAAATTTATCAAAAAATTTATTCTAAAGAATCTTAGTTACAATACTCTTAAGCTCATAAAAAAGTACGCTTAGTTTATAGGGATATACTAGATTCTTTCTATTTTCTATTGTACAAAATAATCCTCAAAGGCTTTCAGAATTCAGTCGCCTTGGCTACTTAGTTGATTCATATTTTGTTAACATTGTGTATTAAAATGATTTTCCGATATTGTATTCGTTAACATTGGTTGAGACAGTGAATTGGCTATTGAGAAACAAAGAAGATCGTACATATTTGATATGTTTAATTACATGGCAGGTCGATAATCGACTTTGAATTAAATTATCATTGTAGTCTTAACCGGACTAATCGTAACTGTTGATCTACTTAAAAATTGTTTTCATTTTGCAATGAATTATATCTATGATGAGTCCTTGACATTTCAGGTTGGAAGAAAGTTAGGGGCGGCCAAACCAAAACGTGGCATCAGTATTTTAAGTCACTAACTCCTAGTCTGAGCCATGTTAGGAGATGCAGACTACTTGGTTGGGGTCTGCGTTACTATCGTAACCAATGGTTAGAGACTCTTGGTGACATGGCTCAGAATCGATCACAATGGCGTCGGTGTATACACTCCCTGTCTTCCCTTAAACTAAGAGAATAAAATCGCTCCATATCTTTCTTTCTACGAACTAATTCTTTCTTCCTGTACTATATCCTTATTGCAATCTTTCTTTTATATATTACCACCTCTGCATTAACTACTTTTATGAATCCGGTGTCCATCTTGTTGTTCTAATGAGGTATGGCAACTTGGACCGATGAATATATTGTACGTGGTCCTACGTTGTACCTGACTGACTGACATTTCAGGAATTTTCGAGAGCTTTTCTCAGGTTTCACCATAGTATTCCAGTTTTTTTATTTATTCGACAATATGTATGAAACCAGTTGCATTTAACTCACCTGTTTCATCTTCTATTCATCCTTATCAAAAATTCTAAATCATCATCAGTGTTTTAGGTGAAATTAAAATCATTTTTACAAGCAAAATTAATGTTTCGTAACGTTAACAATCTAAAATAAGAATCGCACAATGTGATAAAATGTAACAATAATATTTCATTGTGACATCTTTTAGAAAGGAGAATGTTTCTATTCACATTTGTTATTATGCAACTAAAACGCTGTATGATGATTGGTTTATCGGTAGTATATTCTAATGCATATGATTCTATGTAGATCATAGTTGAAGGAAAGGCGAACATGTTATATGTAACATGTTATATATACTAACCAAACATACCACATCGTACCATCAAAATAGAAAACAACATTTTGTACAATATTCAACAAGTGGACAGATATCGACCAGTAGGAAATGTCCATTTAAAGTCCAAGGACACCATTGGACTTAACATGATAATTATTGGTCTATCCTTCGCATCCACAACACCTCCCTTTTTTGAAGATCCGGAGTTGATATCCGGATTTTGAAATTTTCTGGGTTCATCCTCCCCCACGAAATAATGTTGGGTCCTCATATACCCAAGTAACAGTTAGTCTGATTCTATTTAAAGCACATTTCGCGCATTGAGTAGAGGCTTCACTAAAACTGACTAGATGATGAGAATTAGCAACACCAGACATGAGGTCATTAAGGTTTGATTCTTGTGAAACATATTCATCAGACCTCTTCAAGATTCCATCAGTGGATAATAGGTCACTAAAATAAACAGCATCTTTGAAATTTGTATTAAATTCCTGACCATTATTTGATCCATAGGACTCATTTTCTGGCACGAAGGGTTCTTCTTGTGAGCTGGATACCTCACATGTTTCAGGTACAGTGGAATTTGAACCCACGACAGGTAATGTTTCAGAATTTGACATTTCTGGGTCGCTGGGCGGATCATGAATAATTGTCTTGTTTACATCACTGGTCGTCCAGGATTCACAGAGGCTTTTATATACAGCTTCATATGTTCTGCAGTTGTTTTCCAGCTCAGTCTGCATATGAGAAATAAACTTGCCAACTTCTGTTGCATCTCCGAAACATTGGAGATTCATCAACCCTGTGCGTAAATTTTCTAAAAAATTTAACTGGCTATTTTTGAAGCACTGCTGTTGTTGCTCAAGTAGAAGCTGTAATTGATCTGAAAAGGTAGTCATTTTTTTTCAGCACCAGCAATGAAAATTAACTGTAGGGATAATGACCAATGTTGCTCAAGGACGCTGATGACAATCTAGATGCTGATTGGGCGAAACAATTAGGCTGAATCTCGTCCAATTACAGAGTTCGAAATTTTTTCTCCACCCCGTCGCCAATTGTTGTGATGAGTGAGACTGCAGGTTAGATGGAGCAGCGTTTTATTGATCGGTTACAGTGACACGTGAACACGTACGAACGTAATGGACAACCTAGAGTTACGACTGGCCCCGATTCCCTGTCTATCCCAGCCAGTTGAGTCCAGAACACAAATCTCAGCCTCTGAGTTATGAATCATTGTATTTCAGACATACTCTATTTATATACTAACCAAACATACCACATCGTACCATCAAAATAGAAAACAACATTTTGTACAATATTCAACAAGTGGACAGATATCGACCAGTAGGAAATGTTCATTTAAAGTCCAAGGACACCATTGGACTTAACATGATAATTATTGGTCTATCCTTCGCATCCACAACAAATCATATGAGCACTAAATCACTAGACAAACATGAATGACATTCGTATACTATTCACTTATGAATCAGTTAAATAGATAGTTTTATTTATTCAACTTACAGAGCAAATAGTTTTCTGGTTTACTTATCCCCTTACACATCTGTTTTTTTTTATACTTCAGATGATCAAACACGAATTGTCTTAAAAAATACAAACGATCGGAATCCACTTACATTTTCTGAGGTAACTGTTTAAAAAAATTGATTATCGTTGTTAGTTAGCTTAAACAAATTCCTTAGATAGTGAGTTAAATTATTAGAGCGATCTATAGTTTTACGTCACGGATTGATCCTAATTAGGTAACTGTTGAAAACTAGGAGGCGATGAGCAGCTGATTCATGCTACTATGGAACTGCTTACCAGTGCAATTTCACAACTCCTCGAACTGTCGAATCCAGGAGCTTCAAAACTTGTGATGAACGCTTCAACTTTTATTCGACTGAGTTCGCATCCCATAATCTCACATTTCTAGCCTCAGTCACTTTGTGATAGTGTGTGACCAACATCTATTGCTACTTAAGATATTCGTCTCCTCCCCCGCACACACAGTTGAGCTCCACCATAGCACTGAAGTGCCTTGAACCAAAAATGAGGACTGTTAACTTTAGTTGCAATACGCTGGACATCATTATTCTCTTTTCTTTATTTCTAATCTAAAGGATACACCTCGCTGGAAAGATTTATAAGTAAAGATCAAGAGGTGATTAATTTGAGCAAACACTTCTGCTATAGTAATATGTTTGCAAAGACCTTCAAAATCTGAATGACATAGATAAGAGAGAAATAATATCTTTAATTGTGGAAAAAAACACAAAGTATAGCTCCAGTTAAAAGTTCTGTAGAAAGAAAGTAGGAAATCAAAATGAAAGTCTTAAACATTGTTCATTTTTCAAGTCATTGAAATACACTTACAATTTAATTAAATTAGAAGATATACACTTTCATTCTAATACAGTTGAATGACTTAACAACACGTATTTTAATCTGATATGAAAATAACAAATAAGCTATTCTCTTGGGATTTATTATCTCTAACAGTAATTTCATCAGTTATACGTGCTGAAAAATCTACTGAAGATCCAAATTTATATGAATATCTAATCATATTCCTAATAGAATTATATCAATTCGATAGTGGATTATTCATGTTTTACTGACAATAGATACTTTATTCCAAAAAAAGACTATTACGCAGTAACATTTTAATTAAGCTATTCATTTCGGCTACTAAATACTGATCCGTCTAGTATTCATCAGAGAAGGAAGAAACAAACCGAATGGATCTAATGATGATAAGAATAAATATGCCCAGTGACCTTGGCTGGCTCGATGAATAATGTGATTACTCACTATAGCGTTTCTATCTTTATATCTGACTTACCTGTAACCTTAAGACATCACATGGTTCATTTGGTTTTCTCAATGTGTATGTGTATACATTTCCTATAACTGCTAATGATTTTTATATGCATCATTGCTGACATCACTTCTACATCACCTCTTAAATGGATCACTGATTGCTAATTTCACTAATGATGAATCTGCATTCTCTTTACCGGAACTGTTTAATTAGTTTCCTGACACCGATTGACCAATCCAAACTCTTTCTAACCATTACCTACCTAAACAGAGCATTATGGAAGGTAACCGATTTGTTTTCTATTATTATGATGCAGAAACATACATTCTAGGATACATAAATTACAAAGTCACAGTGGCACTATAATTATGGAGGTCACAGTCTGTACATAACAAGGTCATTTGTGGAATGAAATTGAATAATTGATTGACTGTAATTTGCAAACGGTAAGAGGTATGTCAACGGTTAGGGGGCTTAAAATGAAACTTTTCAATTAAAGTAATATAAAAATACACAATAAAAATATAGATTTGTCGATCTATAAGTCCCACATTTACTATTTTATTCGCCCATAACTAACATTTGTAATAAACACAGTGCTTACTTTTTGTTATACTTAAGAATAATAATAATACGGTGGATCATTTTTAACTTCAACTTCCTTGAACAACAATAATGAACTATAAGATCATTGATCAGTCCTGTCGATTAATTTTGCCCTTGTTTTCCAAGATATTTAATTTCATACATTATGTAATTAAAAAATAGCGTACAATTTAATAGTTGAATTCATGCGTCGACTGAAACTATACCTCTATTGGAAACCTAAATGCACTGGATGGCCGTTTCGTCCCAGTATGGGACTCCTCAGTAGTGCGCAATCTTCACAGAGTATAAATTGTACTGTTCAAGGGTACTGTGTTTATGTTCTTAGAATAACAGTTTCTTCATGTTTTGCTAAGGTTTATCCTCAAGAATTCACATCGATCGATGTAGAATTGTCAAACATATTAAGTTTTATATAACCTAAATGAAATACCATTTTGCGAAACCATTTGTTAAAAACATTTAATTTCACTTGTTGAATATACTCGGTTTCTTAATGTAATTGTCATATACTTTTTAGTCAGGTTGAAATGAAAATGAATATACACTGGACTCAGGTTCTGTACATATCTTGGACCATGATTTATACTAGAGTAATGATGATTAAACATCATATTTGTTGCATCTTGTTCAGTTAGTCAATCAGTTATATGCAAAATAAAACTTGGCACATTTGTACATCCTTTCGAGTTGTCACCCCACATCAGCAGTGATATTGACGCTAAAGTAGTAGAAGCAATGACTGTTACATCTTAAGAGCGGCAATTTGTTATGATTTCAAACGATATCACATGCTATATTACCCAATCAGGATTCTGGTGATCGATTGGTTCACCCATATGACTAGCGGAACTGGTGGTCTCCTACTTACGAACTGACGCATCAACAAATGAATCATGTTTAAGCCCTTAACGTTTACTGGTCCTCAGGATCCTTCTGACCCAGTAGTTAGTCAGAAGACTATGGTAGGAAGCTGAACAATTGTTTACAATACTCAGTTCAGTCATGACTCGAAACTCATACAATGATATGCTTGAAATGCGTGATAACACAGCATACAGAATGAGTAATCGTACTTTAAGTATAATCATACTATCAGTGATAGAGGACGAAGCGAACAATACATAATCAATTATCAATAATTAAAGCATAGGAAACTTACAATAAGAGGAATATGAAAACGTAGCAATACGGTTACCTACTAATTATACGGTAAGAATATCGGTAATAATCCGGAAAAATAGTTCCTAAGGTTCCAACTTAATATTCATCCCGTTACAACGGTAGCAGTATTAGTGGTAGTAGGGAAAAGCAGGGATAGATATGATTTGTGAAGAAGAAATGAGTTCATGGAATAGAAAGTATCAGATAGTTTTAAAACTCAATATATTTAAGAAGACAAACAGTGAATACATCTGGGTTATTGGTATCAATTCTGAGTTATTTCATATTGTTATCTTCTAATAGAATGGAAAATAATAATTTCACCATATTGAATTTTTCTTATATTCATTTTAGTTATCTACAAACTTAACTGGATACATCAATGCTAATTTTATAAGATCTATTGAAGTACCGTCTTCAGATGATACTTTACTACGAGCAAATAACCATTGTGAATTCATTGCTACGCAAGGTCCACTTAACCAAACAATTGGAGATTTTTGGCATATGATTTACATGTTTAAATGTCCATTTATTGTTATGTTAACAGGGTGAGTGTCGGTGATCAAGAATGATCAGTTTGGGGATTTGTAGAGATTGTAGCATTTCAACAGTTGGATTCACGCGTCAACCTAAGCTAGACCACCGTTTAATTTAATTTATGATACTAAAACAAACCTTATGCAACATGTGTTTTCGTATTAATAATATATCCATCCCAACTGATTCGTGATCGGCCAGGGAGAGCAGACAGACATATCTGATACATCACACGTGTAACATGATAAACATTATCCCCCTTTTATATTTAGTTTCGGTAACCTCTTACTATATTCTATGTCTGATTTTATATCGAGTTCGAGTGTACTACGTGATTAGTTAAGACTATATGCCTTGGTCAAAATCCGAAGGTTTTTCTAATCTATCACTAATGCCTAATAAGAGAGTAATTCATATTATACTTGTCTAACCTTCAGTAATAACCAAATTTTCATAGTTCTAATGGAGGTCATTATCTGTCCTAATAGTATTATGTTAGTGCAACTGACTGTGACATTGGGGTGATACGATTCTGGATCTCACAAATACCATCGACTCCCTAAAGACTGTAGATACAACTTGTAAACTAGTGCCAATTAGAACGGAGCTTAAAATAAGCATAGCTTCTTACCAAACGTCTGCAGCCACGTCACAATTTTACTAAAATGAATTTTTCATCGATGTGTTAGTGTGATTAGTAACTTGAATCAACCAAACTTATGTGATATGTATGTTTAATCACACATTATGTCACAAATGATAATATTTTCTGTTTGTCTAAATCATAATAAACGAACTTGAGTTTAGATATGTAGATAGCTGTGTTATTTATTAGTAGTGAAAGTTTGAATTATTCATGTTTACATATTCAGGACTGAACTTTAACTGGTCTTCGCTGATATAAGTCTATTTTGTACAGGTTGCTTTGATGTAGCTACTTCATAACGTTTATTTTAGCAAAGGTTGATCGTACTTAACAGTGAACTTCAGGACATACTTATCGTCCTGTTTGGAACTCCAGCCTAGTAACTTTCGCTCCAAGCTCCGAAGCGTCATCCAGTGAGTTAATGAGTTCCAATGGTTACTAACTTGTTCAAAGGGTAAGATGTTTATTATTAGTAGTAAGAATTTAAACTATCTCGTTGTCGATATTCAGGGTTGATTTTTAGTCAGTCCTTGTCGATAAAAGTGCCTGTTGAGCGAATGACTTCACCATAGCCATTTTTAGTTTGATACGAAAGGTTCAAGGTTTAAGTCTCAATGTGAAAATCAATATTGACTTGGAGAGGTACATTCGGCTAACGAGTCCCAAACAGGATAAAACGCACATTCTGGATTCCAATGTTAGCTACAATCTATCTGTTCTAAAAAATGTGGCTAACTGGTTAGTATAATTATTCTTAACTCCTATCGGAAAAACCATTGTTTCTCTTACTAATGATTCTTACAGATAGGAAATGCCATGGTACTAAAATGTTCTTAAGAATTAGCCATAAGTATATAAGTCTACAGAAACCCAACAAAATATTTTATACAACATTTAAAATGTTTTAAAAGAACAAGGACTTACTCTTTTTAAGAGAATTATGTTGTAAACTGTATAGAATCTTTGGTTTAATTTGCTTTTCAATTTATAGAATGATCTTTTATTGGTATTTTGCTAATAGGCTTCAATATAATGGTCAAACTATTTGCGATTTATACTGGCCGGAGAAATTAAACAATCCTGAGCATTATAAATCCAATGGTTTTGAAATCTCAGTTACACTACTTGAAACTAACCAGTCGGATTGTTTCATCAAAAGGATTTTCAGCATTTCAATGGTTAGTTTCTAGAAACTATTTTTTTTGCAATTGAGGTGCTACTTTGTGAAATAATCTGCTAGAATCTGCAATGTGGTGTGTGTTTCAAACTTGAGTCTTAATATGAACACTAACAATTATTGCGATTGAAATTCTATCTGTTTATAATGTTCAGTTTCCACTAAGTGAGCAAGAATAGAATTCTTAATCACTCAGAATGAAATGTAGGCTGAGACTTTGGTTAGGTGCATTAATAGACTTCTTCGATAGCGTTCCAAGCTTAAAATTTCCCACCCAACATTTGACCTTGAAAAGGTATATGAGAGCAGGCATATGATCTATCTGTACTTTCCCAGCTTATCAACATTGATTGCTATGCTCTTCATTAATATGATAAAAATAGCTTCCATCATATACCAAGGAACAGTATACAAGTCGATAACGCTGAACTTTTGGCTTCTGGATATTTGAATAAGCAACATTTCGTCCAGAAAGAATTATTTCTCGAGATTTTACTACTATGACTTAGCAGAACTGAATTTCAGCAAGCAATTGTCCGTGACAATATGTTATTAGATCAAAACAAAAAGATACTCTAATTTTTGTACATGTTTTTGCAATTTGTCAGATAATCTCGAATATTGCAACTATTGCATAACAGATCACTAATACTTTGGCACGATAACCCTCTTGATCACGTCATAAATCTCCATATCGAAGCATATTGTTATATTTGACAACTAAATAATGCATGGTGAATTCATACTATGACAACAAATGAGTCCCACCGAATAGTACAACCAAAAAACTAATGATTATCCAAGCAATCAATTGTTAATATCTCAATACGACAGGAGGTCAGTCACGGACTGTGAAGCTGAGTGATGCGGGTTCAAGTCCTACAACGAGGGTTAGTTGCCCAAAGGTTGCATGTCAAATCACCTATACTAGTGGCCACACTGCAAGCTGATCGATAGAATTCGATCACCACTAAGAGATTAGATAAAAATGACATTGGTCACTACTTGGCGACCAATCAACTGCAAATCACTTAAACCTGGATAGAATTTCTTAAAATTAGGTTATTAAAATCATAGTATAAATGTACTCTGATCACATTTTTTGCACTTATCATTACAGACAGTCATGAGTTTATGAAAATTAATGCAATTTGTTCATTATTCGAGTAATCCTTTCCACTAATGTATCTTACTACTTTCTCAACCATTTTTTCTTATCAGTCAAATAATTCAAACGAATCACATAATGTAACTCAAATACACTTCACAGAATGGGAAAATTTCAGTGTACCAACAATTACAGACATGGATAAACTTGTGAAAGAATATGAACAGAATTATCAATCTCTTGTTAATCATCAATCTATTACAGCCTCAATCGGACCAACTGTTGTACATTGCAGGTAATTCGACTAATAATATTGTCCATTTCCAGGTTGTGTAAAATAAAAAATACCACGACATACACTCGTTAGTACTGGGTAGCATTACTACATTTCAGAGCATGCATTTTTATTCAACACTAGAATAATTGTACTGTTCCATGTGAATAGATACTAAAGGGTTGTATGTATTTGCATCCGTCGTGTCATTAACGGGATACTGGTTACTGGTATTTGGTCACAGACTCAATCAAAGCATTGCTCACTTGTATTGAGACCATAGAGTGAGCAATGCTGAAGTTATACGCAGGATATAAGGTAAATATGCCAAATCGATTAGTAAGGCTGTTAATCTTCATTGACTAAGTTAGTTGGGATATCCCCAACGGCTACTTTTCTTGATGCTAGTTTATGAACAAATTGAAAGCTAGAGGTGGACAAGCCAAAACGTGGGATCAATTCATGGAGTCATGAATTTCTGGGTTAAGCCATATTATTAGTTCCACACTACCAGGTTGGTGTTCTCGTAGCCAGTGAAGACTTTGGTTGACATGGTTCACAATGGCGTTCATGTATTCACTCTTTCTCTTCCTCCCTTAGATTTTGAGTTTTTTCAACTGCCTCATACTCTTTACTCTGTGAATTGATTCATTTTGCTCGAATCATAGTGTAACGCCTAATGTTTTCTGTCACCACACATGTACCGAGTTGATGATTAGGCAGTGGTTTAATGGTTAAGACATTCGGCATTCAACATTTATGCAACAGGTTAGAGTCATGAATTGCCTACTTCAGTTTAAACACTTACCACTAACCCTGACATATAAAGTGTGGTTTAAATCTGAGTAAGTAAATTTGTACTTGGCAAATAATTAACATCATTATCACCATTGAAGAATCATATCGACCAGTGATGTAAGGCATGGAATTTTGATTTCATATTTAACAGAACTTATCAGTATTACACAAGTTTGAAATTTATATGAATTACGAAGCGCTTTAATGTAACTACAAAAAGCAGAATTTCTGAAAATATGCTAATGTACAATTTGATGGAATCTGAAATTGATTAAAAGAATATACAACGAAACTCTAAGTTTCACATCACGCTTCTTCTACAAAGGAGATGGAAATAAAAAGTACCCTAAACATAATCTAGGGCGATCGATTCAACCTGTAGATTAAGATTTACACTAATTGAGTAGACCTATCTGATACAATATAACAATGTGTCATATCCTAGCGAGGATTAAATTACACGTAACTTTTGAGATCTATTAATAGACTAATATTATCTACATATTCTTATGGTATAACTATTCAATAATTAGATTATATATATATTCACCTTATTATAAGCTTCATTTTGACATATAGATTCTTATTGTAAGATTTACTGTTCTTATGTTCAAGTTAGGGGCGGCCAAGCCAAAACGTGACATCAGTGCTTGAAGTCATTAACTTCTAGTCTGAGCCATGTTAGCAGATGCAGACTACTTGGTTGGGGTCCGCGTGACTATCGTAACCAAGGGTTGGAGACTCTTTGTGACATGGCTCAAAATCGATCACAATGGCGTCGGTGTATACACTCTCTGTCTTCCCTTAAACTAAGAGATTAAAGTCGCTCCATATCTTTCTTTCTACGAACTAATTCTTTCTTCCTGTACTATATCCTTATTGCAATCCTTCTTTTATATATTACCACCTCTGTATTAACTACTTTTATGAGTCCGGTGTCCATCTTGTTGTGCTAATGAGGTATGGCAACGTGGACCGATGCATATATGTGCCTGGTCCTACGTTGTAGCTGACTGACTGAAGTTATGTTCAGTTTATTGATTACAGTTTCCCACGTTCACAGCCACTTTTGGCTCTATTTTGTATAAATGTTATTTCCCATTTTATAGTGCGATGCGGTCTGTTTGTCTGGTATATAGACCAAGCATGTTTGAAATAAATGATTCGCATAGTGGGAGCTGTTATTGGTGTTCTGGACTCAACTGAACGGGCTAGGCTGATCATACCGGTCGAATGTCATTGGTCTTAATACAGTACAAGAGTGAATAAGTCGAATTTCGATTGGCGAATAAATTACATGATAACTAGCCAGACTTATTTATTTATTTTAAAGCATAGATATTGGTGCAAGGAGGCACCAAATACATATGCGCCACACAAATCTCATTCGATATATGTGAGGGCTGTGATACTGCCCGGGTGCCCAAACCGAAGCAGGTGGATTTCTTAGGGAGCCACTCCCCGAGCCTTCGACCTGAAGGTATGATCCACAAGGCAGTGGAGCATCGTGAAGAGATACAGTCCCATGGAAGCCGGTGGCCAACAATTGTTTCATACGCCATTTGTTCATTCAGGATACTGGAGCCCATGTGCACTATTGGTTTTGGATCCGGTTAAAGCTCCGGATATCCTCCTTTCGTCCTCTCATTTTCGTAAACAATAGCCCCGCCACGAGAAGGCAGTGAGTCGGACTTCCCTGGCAGTGATTGTATGCAAGTGGCCATGTGAGAGCATTTGGAGAGGGAGAGCGGACTCTCCGCACTCTCGGCCGTACCAGGGCATTTGGGGGAAATTGAGCTTTTATTGCTTTTACATTTCTTCTGGAATCTAGCGGTTACAAGTTCAAAACCTATTCTAACCTCTTAAATTTTGTTATGTGGAGTAATATTATGACTTTCAAACGAAAAAGTATCACAACCATTAACTAAACTTACATTGTACTCGTCATTCCCTTTTTGCATATCATGAATCAATGATACCATACTAAATCTGATTTTACGTAGTCTTTTCGATTTTTTTTAGTGCTGGTGTTGGTCGAACTGGAACATTTATTAGTGCTCTTATTGTTCGCAGACATCTTCGATCTGGTTGTCAATGGATTAGTTTACCAAGTATTGTTTTAATGTTGAGACTCTGGCGCCACTGTATGGTTGAGTTGACAGTGAGTTTTTGCAGCTGATTTACTGATATGACTCATTTAAAGCAAACATCAGTATAAACACAGACTTTTAAACTGAGAAGGTTGAAATTTTCAGTGAAAATCAAACTTTAAAAATAATGAGATGAGTTTGATTATACTTAAATTCATTCAGATTTACAGGTTTCTAGGCTACATTAAGAAGTAACAATATAAACAACCAGTTTCACTTTTGTATATGTGTAGTGTAGAGACATATGTTGAAACTTACCTTACTAGCTAGTTCAATTCATAATTTAGAAACATTATTGACAATAAAAGCGAGAGTCACATTTACAATTCACGTCAACACTAATCATAGACCATTTATGCTAAGATTTGCACTGACGTGTTGTAAAACAAACAGGATATTTCACAGAATAAGACTTTTACAAATGATCTCAGTAAAAACATAGTCAAACTAGAGATAAGAAGTACCGTTTCGCTCGATCAGGATATTATTCGATGCTTTTTTTCAAAATCCCTCACCAAATTCAATCTACTGTAGTATCTGTACTGATAAGCTTAAAGCATTATTTACTTAAACATTGACGGATCAGTCGAATGAAATCCTCGAAAAAAAACTAGTTGATCATAGCCGATGCAACTCGGAATCAATCTTAGGTACGAAAATTCATCGTTTTTCTACTGTTTTATGCCTTAATTTTCTCGAATAATTCCGGACCTAAGTACACAGTTCTGTATAGTGAAGATGCTGAAAAACGGGGCGTTCTGACCACCTTAAGTAACAATGCAAGCATGTTTAGGATGCGATCTTTCCATCTGAATAAAAATATTTTGTTCCAGGACTGGTATGCGTCAATGCCTGAACTAAAGATATGGAGTCAAGCAAATGGGCTCGCCGATCACTTATCTTGAACGTCTCACCAGCCCTAGTAGGTTAGTGTCTGACCAAATCTCACGACGGGTTCAGTAAGCTCGCTTGGTTTTTGTCAACTCACATTACCTATGGCGTAGGCGAAATGTCTATCTACCGGCCAAGGGACGAGTATACTGCACAGCAGCTCGTTTTATTTTATGTCTAAAAAAGTTACTAGTAATTAATCTTTAGTTGGTTTGGAAGCATTACTCGACTGATCAATTAAGAAGTTCAATTTAACATTGTCTCACAATTAGTCATATAAAATAAATTCCTAGAAATGATTTATATACTACACTAACAAGTTAGTTGTTTTAGTATCGATAAAAGTATGTATAAAGGAGAATGAAATAATTTTGATGAAGTTGTGTTCTCTGAGCTGGATAGTTCGGTCTTGGAGCTTTCATTGTTCTTCTGAACGATATCATCAGCAAAAACTCCTGGTAGAATGAAATAAAACTTCAATATGAATATCATACATTCATTGGTAATTCTTTTTTTGCTTTTAAGGAACAATATCTATTTCTACATGAATATTTCGCATATATTTTGAATCAAGATATTGCTAACATAACATTCTAACCAACTAATTGAGGAATAATTATTTTATGTATTAAACAACAAATGATGAATATACTATTGTCAAAGTATGAACTGGTCAGTCAGTCAGTAACAACGTAGAACTGGTAATTTCAATTGTTTACATTTTCCCACGTTAAAAACAAGCCATTCTGTATTGATCAAGATTTTCTTTTTCAAAATATTCATTTCAAGTTTTTGTATATAATTTAATTCTTACATTTATTATTGTTTACAATATACAGTATGTTGTTTTAGCAACAAATTACTTTTTTTTAGTTTGAAGAAGTTTTACTATACAAAACAACTGATTCACATTCAGTGAACTGAATAAAAACCCAATTTAGCATCAATAAGATGTGGGGTTATATTTCTAGATGGTCTGTTTGTGGTCAAAGTTTATCGTCAAAGATTTTTCTTGCTTACAGAATGATGTATTGATATACCTATCGACTTACAACAGTAGTTGTATTTCTCAACCTTGATGTACCATTTGATTCTGTAGACCGATAGGTTGTATGGAAGTTTATGTCATTGAAAGACCTACTGAAGAAATACATCAATCTTTTTACAGGCCCTCTATTCAAACAGTACTGGTTGAGTTATAGCCTATGTCGAACGATCATTAGAATTATCAAACTCAGGGTTGTCTGCTTTCCTCATTTTTATCCAGATTTGTCATAGGCATTTTCTAGAGATAAAATTCACCGTCCGATTTATTAGGGATTGATTTACTAGAAAATTCTATTGTTAACTTAGAATACGCAGATAACGTAGTTTCATTCCGTGAAGACGCTGAAAAGCGTTTTGACCTCCTTAACCAAGAATCCTAGCATGTTTGGGATGCGTTTCTCTCCCTCCAGACGCAAAATATTGTTTTAGGACCGGTATGCGTCAATGTCTGAACTAAGGATACGGAGTAAAGAAGTTGAGTTCGTCTGTCACTTCACTTATTTTGGAAATCTCATCACCTTAAGTGGGTTGGTGCATGACGAGATCTTGAGATAAATTCAGAAACTTCGATTGACTTGTGCCAAATTATGCCACTTGCTGTATATATGAGATATTCGTTCGCCAACTCAAAGGTCTTATTGTGCAGCAGTTCGCTCTATATTATTTTATGGGTGTGAAATATGACCATTAGGAATAGAAGATATTCGTAGATAACTAGTATTCGACTATGAGTGCTTTCAAAACATTGTTGGCGCGTTTTGGGACCAGTGGGTAAGCAAAGCCGGGATTCGAAAAAGGATACTAGGTAGGTATGCCAAACAAATTGACAATGTAGTGAATCTGTCAGTCGGAACATGTGTTACATATGCTCATCCAACGACCACCTTGACGCGCGAGGATGGCTAATGTAGTAGGTTGGAATAAATCTAGATGCAGCCAAATCGACATGGCATCACTCCATGAAGATACTGTTAGACTGAGCCATATTAACAAGCGTAGACTACCTAGATGGGGTCCGCATGATTATCGTAACCAGATGGAAGAGGACGCAATTGTCTTAAAGTTAGCTATAATTCATATTTATTCGGAATACTGTTTTAAATGAGAATTTGAATCTGTCATTACAAAAACAAGCGTGAGGGAATCGAAAATCCAGTGTTATATTGATAAATGAACAAATCAACAAAGTAACATACACTTTTTGGTTATACACACATTAATGACTGAGAAATGAGCGGTTAGTAGAACATATTGTAAAACACCTAACTTCTGGTATATCTTTTTAACGTAAACTAACGCTGAAATCAACTGGTCTTCTAGATTGAACGCTACCAGATGAACTAACGTTGAACAAAGCTTTGCGAACAACATCTGCGTCTACTTCGACCGGAATGCCTGATTTGTTCAGAGACTCACGAATAACTTGTTTAGCCTGCGTTTCAGTTTGTTTCCTGAGAAGTTAATTACAAAGAAATATGGAGAATGATAACTAAATAGATATAGGGAAATAATATACATCTATTAACGATTTCTAATTTGCAGAATATACAAGCATATGACAAAGTGTAAAAAAAATAATCAAAATTACAAAACATTAATGAATTAACCTTCCATAATTTGGTCCGAGTCTTGAGGCCATGCGAGCAGAAGTGTCACGTTCACTGGGTAAATCACTAACTGGTGTAGTAAGGCTTACACGCATTGGACGGCCATCTAGTTCACGACCATTATAACGCTCAATAGCTTCAAGCGCATCTGAAGAATGATTATAAATTACTTCTGCTTGGCCAGGACGTGTAACAGTACACAGACGTAAACTTCCAACGCTGCTGAATAGCTCCTACAAGAAAAAGGAGTATCAAATTAATTTTTATATTTGGATAAAATATTCTATAACTAGTACTGCTTACTTTAACGAATGATTAAAAGGGCATAGAATAATGCTATTTTGGCTTCCTCATCAAATAGCAGAAAAAGTGTGGCAACACATAAAAAGAACAATGTATTGAGTTGCTTGATCTTTAAGAAGACAGACATTTGTTGGCTAAAAGTACTTCGTCATATATGCTGCTCAATTATATATATATATATATATATATATATATATATATATATATATATATATATATATATATATATATATATATATATATATATAGCATTATATATTCATAACGGTCACCTTTTCTGTATTCTTCAGAATTATCATGCTCTGATATTTTGCTTTTCCCGGATCATTTCAACTAAGGAATAAGTCTGTTGTCTTCATAAACTGTTTATGTTCTTACTTGAGTCGTGCGATCCACGGGATCAAGTAGTCAGTATCAATTATGTGCTGCTACAACTGACAGAATTGCTTATAACTTCATAACTGTTCAGGTGTTTTTGGAGGGTGAAATAAATCCCTTTCTGCGCTTAGTTGTGTCGTGTGAATTGCCATAATTTAATTTCAAGTGCTAAATTAGTCCTTATAGTTACAACAGTTCAACAAACGCTTGATTTTAAGGAAAACCAAGAGCTGTGAATAAACACTAACAATTTATGAATCTCAAATGATAAATGGAAGCTATTACTTTAAATAATGATATTAGTTATGATTAAGTCAAAAATCATGTCTATCGCGTCATAAAGATAATTATAACTTCTGCAACACCCCAAAACTATCACACGTAACTAACTAGATTATAAAACAACGAAATATAACTTACGAATACATCATCTAGCGTGACGGACGGCTGAAGGTTACGGATTTCCACACGGAAACCTTGTATTGGACTAATCTTAGGTCCTGATGAAGAAGCAGACACTGGAACTTCATTAAACGGTAACAAGTTAGCAAATAACCCAGTAGTGGGTGTAGGGTTATTAAGAAAATCAAGCGGATTAGGAAGAGGCAACGGTAAGCTCAGCAGATCAGGAATACCTGGACGAAGAGACGCTGGACGTGGTTTTCGCTGAAACATAAAAAAACCTTATGAATAGAAATCTCATAAGGACAAAACAAAACAACTTTTCACTGAACTAAATGATGTATTTTGACGTCATACCCACCTACTGAATCATTAAAAACATGGTTCTTTGTTTTTAATTTTAATCAACGCAAAATGTATTAACCTTCATATATATACCAAAGGTACTTTAAACTTCACGTTTCAAACTAGCTTCCATTGGCAAATATTAAATAACATATATTTCTTAATAAACTGAAATAAAAGAAGTGAAATTACAACACTTAATTGCAGAAATTTAAGTTACGAAGGATTATGAAGTTCAATATCAACTTACTGCATTTCGTAGACTGTTTATTTGACCTCCAAAAAGTTCATTTTTAATCTACAGAAAAAAGAAGTTAGCTCAAGTGAAGTTATATGAAAGGAAATCAAGTTTATCAATATGAACACGAAACAAAACATACGTTAACAAAAAGTAAAACAGAAAAAGTTGCACTCATAGCAAAAAATATTACATCGGACGAAATGGGTGCTCCTTTTGGCTATGTGTACATGAAGATTGATTAGCATTTAGGCGACATGATATTTTATCACTGATATCAGTATATTAAGATAATCCTGGACCAGGGAAACTTCAAGATCCTTAAAGAATTTCTAGGAAAGTGACATGTATATCGATTGTCAATCAGCCACAAGAATAGATATCAACCAATAAAGACAGTCAGCGTGAATATAAAGATAAATGAAGACAATAAAATGTACCAAGACAGTCAGTCAAAAATAAGGCCAACAAAATAAGTGGTATAAAACTTATGGAATAACTGAAATGGGCGCTGAAAACGTTTAGGATAATAATAAAATCTCTGCAAGTAAATCATCCAGCCACGAAAACAACACTAAAAATATTCAACCAAGTTGTAGTTTATTTTCGGCCTATACGAACATATGTAGAGGCGTGGATCTTCAATCAAAGCAATTCGCAAGCATATGAGGTTAACTATCACATTTAAAGGATACTAAAGTGTAAATGTCATTATTTATCAAAAGACTTTTAACTAAACACATAAATGTACTCTTTGCTAAGTAGTCAGCCATAACTTACGTAGAATTTAGCACAAATTTTTATTGGTCGAGTTTTTGAATCACAGTGAAATGAGAAGTTAACAAGATACATAACGAAGAAATGATAGTGGTACCAATAATGGTTAGAAAACTAAACTTGGAGAACAGTTCAAAAATGAAATAAATAAGGGAATAAAAAGTCTGGAACAATTTCAAAACTCATGGAGGTCACGATAGAGAGTTATTTGGACCACTGCAACTGAGGTTAAGCCATGTCACCTAGTCTTCAACTACTATATATGATTATCGTCCGGACCCCAACCAAAGTTTACACAGGCTAACCAATACGCTTCATAAACTATTAATGGTAATTGACTGTTTACGAAATTGAGAGGACGAAAAGCGAATGTCCAGAGCTTTAACCGTATTGATGGGTTTCGGAGGATCCACCTGAGAGAGTTGGAACTCTTATTCCAAACCAATAGTGCACATGGGCTCCAGTATCCTGAAGGAACAAACAGTGTACGAACCTATTGTTGGCCGCCAGCTACCATGGAACCACATCTAACGTTGCTCTACTGCCTCGTCGATCAGACCTCTAGGTCAAAGGTCCGGGAAGTGTCCCCCTAAGAAAACCACATGATCTAGTTTGGGCACCCGGGCAGTATCCCAACTCACACAAATCTAATGATTTTTGTGGCGGATTTATATATATATATATATATATATATATATATATATATATATATATATATATATATATATATATATATATATATATGGTTCCTCCTTGTACTGA